GATTGATTGATTGATTGATTGATTGATTGATTGATTGATTGATTGATTTTGATGTTGTATTTTCCTTCCATTGCTCTTTTTGGAAGGGGGCTATCTGTAATGTTCTGTGCTTTGGGTTTCTTGCTTTTTTCCTTGCTGTTTCTTGCAGTTTTGAAGTATGATTTTTATTGTCTCCTGTCTGTGCAAAAACAGCCAAGCTTTACAGGTCCTGCACAAGGGAAGAGAACTCCCTTTCCACTTGAATACAAGCGGCCCCATGTATTTAAAAAAATCTGAAAAGGCTTCCAGATATTTCAACTCAACAATCCCTAAACATGTTGTGTTTCTGAACCTATAAACTACCTCTGGGGATTTGGTTGCTGCTGCACATACAATATTTTTTTTACATCTTTATTAATTGCATCCTGGAATGAACAGTGACAGAAAATCTGTATAATGAGCACACAGGAGAAAATGTATCATAGGAAGGTATATGATGTATTTATTGGTTCGTTTTTTTAATTTTTTTAATTAATTTTAAATAATTAACTCTCAAATCCTCTTTATAAAAATTGTGCAGTGTCTAGAGCAATAATGTTTAGGTCTACAGTTAATCTATAGTGAATCTTACATCCAGTATAAAATTATTTCTTTCCACTTTAAAGGCCTAACAGGCTAAGACCCAGAAGTCTGTAGCCAGCAATTGCAAAAGCAGTTGACACAAAGATCAACATGGTCACTTGGATGGATGACATATGTCAGGAGGGACACAGGAGGAATTTGATTTCGTTCATGATTCTGTACCTCTCAGCATCTTTTTCAATACCATCAACTGTAGTTTCATTCTGAGTATCTGGGTTGGGAATTAGTGGCACCAGCTGAAATGACTGCATGATACAGACTCCATCCAATTCTAAACTTCTTTGGTATCTTCCACTTGATCCAGTAATATGAATGCCATGGGGCTCAAGCTGAACAGAAGAAAACACTGTGAGACATCTCTTTCTTCCTTGTAGCATTTATACTATAAGGTCCCTCCTACTTGGTTCCATCTTCTTTTTTGACATTCCATACCTTCTTGAAGCTGGTGAGATTCAAACTTAGCTCAAACATGTAGTATGCAGATGGCCTATTTTTCTTTTTTAATCCTAAAAGAAGCAAAGTAACAATCCAGATAGGGTCCACAATGCAAAAAAAGTTTAAATCTTTCCTATTATCTGCTTGCTTCCTGAAAATTGACTCTGTACATGGAGGCATAAAAAAACAGGGGCAGGGTAGAGTTTTCATTGGTGCCAACGTTAACAAGATCAGCTGTATTCTACTTATTTATTATATTGTTTACATGATCTCTGAATGGAACTATTGGAAAGGGGTGTTGTCATGAAGCAATCACAATGTGGATATTATAATAAAATTAATTAGGTTTTAAGATGTCCCAAGGCTTTGAGGTGGGGAAGGTTGACATTGTTGACACTGCTTGCTGGTTTGTTTTTCTTAACTTGCAAAAGACTAACATACCTACATCTTTTGGAAACTATGGCACTCTATTTCTCCCTTTTCCATCTAATTCACTGGAGGCAGTAAAAATAATGAACCAGAACTGGAGTGTGTTGACTGACTAGATGAGAGCCGATAAACTGGCACTTAATACCTCACAGCTTCACAATATTTTTAGGCATTTCCAAGAGTGCCTTCTACCAGCCTTGGCTAGCATGTCACCCTGTATCACTCACATCTGTAATCTAGCTTTTCTTACCCAGATTTTGGTAACTTCTAAACTATAGAATTATAGAATAATATACCATAATATATTATCCATGGGACTTCTTTTACAGAAAATGTGGAAGCTGCAATTATTTCAGATAAGTAGGAAATAGGCAATTCTCCTGTGTTTAAATATATGCATTGTCTTGGTTCCTGCTTATTTCAGGATCCATATAAACTACCAGTTCTTATCTTTCAAGGTCTGTACAACTTGAAGGAATAACAAGATCTAACATTTCAGGGGAAAAGATTCTAACCTAACTTACATCCTGCTATGCTAGGGTTTTTTTTAACCTGCAAGGATGCTTTTCTCCATAGAATATTTAAAAATTGAGATCCCCTAGAAAGCATATGAAATAGTACATCAGTTCTAGCATTGAAAACCATGACTGAACCTCATCCATTTTAACTTTGAAAAATGCAAGCATATATTTTTCGTACTTGATAAGAGATACACAGATGTTGTTCTCCATCATCAAAAGTTGCTGCTCTTTTGTATATAACAGCTGCTGGTATCTTCAAATGACAGAAGAAAGTCCAGCAGTGGTATGACTATGTGGGCCTAGTGAAACTGGGTCCTCTTTTTAATATCTCTTAGAACCTCTCTTGGGTAGCTCCTACATTCAACAGTAACATTGCAGTAAGAAATCCCCCGTAACAGTTCATTGCAGTTAATAGAACACCAAGTCTTTCCCATTTGGAACATTCCATAGTATATATTCAAGAGCTAAACACTGTACAACATATATTATAAGAACTGGGCCTTTAGATTATGTTAAAATCTTCATTGCTTTTCTGCTCTTGCCAGGGGTCTAGGCCATGGAGCTTTTGGGGAAGTGTATGAAGGTCAGGTGATTGGGATCCCCAGTGACCCCACTCCTCTTCAAGTTGCTGTAAAAGTAAGTGGAAAAATCATTGGTGGGACAAATCTGCCTGATGGGACATATCTCATCAAAGGAAGGCAATATGGCTGAGTTCACTTTCTAATTTCTCTGAGGGAAGAAGGGTGAATGAATTCCTGATTATAGATACTTGGAGGTGTGAAGAATTCAGAACTGTCACTCAGACTATTATTGCTGAAGTTGGTAAAAGTGATTAATTTTAATTCACAGGCATGTTTTTGAAACTCTGATCTCAAGCAGGAAATACTTTTGGCTGTCTTCCACTCTCTAGTGTTCTCCAGATGTGTTTGGCATTGTGACTCTCATAATTTCTATTTCTGTGGCTATTGTCCATGCTGGTTGGGAATTATGACCATTGCAATCCAACAGCTATAGAAGCTACCCATTTGGAAGGCTGACTCAGACTTTTCCTACTCTGCATCCTTATCCTGCCAAGGTTCACCACCCTAAGTTGTAGATGATGTGCTAACAGAAAGCTGAAGTTTTTCTTCTTATAGCAGCAGAGTGATGGAGGAAAATGTTTGTGGTGATTAGTGTCTGAGACATAGCTATTAATTCCACAGCATTTCTGATAATATGGCATCTTTCCCAACTTGGAGTTTCCAAATGGTGTTGAACTACATTTCCCATCATTCCATCCAGAAAGCTAAATAGTCACCAGTAATGGGAGTTTCTAAAGATTCAGGAGAAGCTGGTCTGTCAGAAAGGAGGCATCTCTTAAATGGCCTAGAATTATCTTTGGAAAGATGTTGTCTAAAACACTTTCCACATGAAAGAAATTTCACTTTCCTTCTCTTTTTTCCTGACTAGACATTGCCAGAAGTTTGCTCAGAGCAAGATGAGCTTGATTTCCTGATGGAAGCTCTTATAATAAGGTGTGTTAATTCAAATTGATCATCAGCTTTTCTACCTCAAACACACATCTATCAGTATTAAAAGCACTGGTCACTTTCCCCCACCAGTGTTTATGCAAATGAGGAACATCTGAACTCACAGAGTAGTAAAGAATAACATTTTTGCAAAGTGTCTGTTGGCTTTCAGTGATAGTAATAATTTGTAGCTGCCACCAAAGTATCATAAGACTAACTTTCTTCACTATTGCCTCAAAATCTAGGGAGGGAAGGAAGGAATAAGATAGCTGGAAACTATAAATAACACTATTAAACTGCTCGGTTGTGTGATGGGGGGGAAGAGGATTATTTCATTTTGTTTCATTTATTATTTTATTTTGTTTATGTTATTACATTTTATTTTATTTTTCTATATAAAACATTCACTGCCCAAATTATTATTTTTTGGCTTGCAGTATTTTTCTACAGTCCCATCCAACAGCAGTTTACTTTTGACCACCAGACTACTTCAATCTGGTTTAACACAAATATTGATCTGCAACTTTCATAATGTCTGCTGGGGATAAAAGTGAGGGGTGTTGAAGCGCAACGCACCAGGAGAGCAAGAGGTCCAAAGACGGCTGGGTTAGATAAACAAGTCACAAGGCTCAAATCTGTACCTTTTGCATTAAAAGTTTATTTTCTTAATCTTCCTTTCAGCAAGTTCAACCACCAGAATATTGTTCGCTGCATTGGGGTGAGCTTACAGGCTCTGCCTCGCTTTATTTTGCTGGAGCTCATGGCTGGAGGAGACTTGAAATCCTTCCTGAGGGAGACACGGCCAAAACCGGTAAGAGAAAAAAAATATATTTCAGTGTAGCCTTGGCCTCCAGTTCTCCTTGAAAGTTTTTCCTAAATTAAATTTAGCCTAGTTCTTTTTGCTAATATTGCAATGCTTGCTTAAAGAAAAGATTTTCAGAGCTGCAGTGCCACCATTTCCTTACAAAGATTTTTAGTACTTTGATAGATTAAATTGAGCAGGTCTTATGCTGTTGATTGGGCAGCTGAACAACAGATGGATTGGGTGAACAATTCACCAGCAATTACTCTGAAGGAATGTTGATTTAGCCTATATTTAGGAGCAACTTTTACCACATAAAGTGACCGACTTTAAATCTGCCACCGTTGATGTGCTGCTGATTCAAAGAGTACCCTGCACTAAAAGAGAGGACAGTGCTGTTATTCTGTAACAGCAATATTATGTAACTCCAGAGGATTATTCTTTCTTCACTTGTGCAACCTCCCCTTTAAGTTAAACTGGTACCCTTAGTGATAGCCTTCGGTAAGCTGATGAAAACCATCAGCTTGCACAAGGTCTTTGGAGAATTATACCATCGGTTAATTGTTTTATTGTTGGTGCTGCTGCTGCTGCTGCTGCTGATATTTTGATTTTGTTCAATGTTACTATATATATTATGCTGTGGGATCTATATTTTTGTACTGTAGACATTTTATTATAGTGTGGTAAATCAGTGGCATAGCGTGTTTGAAAACACTGAGTAAAGGAGAGAACACAACTTCCTATAATTTTTATTAAACCTTTTAAAAGAAAAGATAAAAACTAATACAAACTAATATAAAGTAAAGCAGAGAAGAAAAAAAGAAAGAAAGCAAAAAGAAGTCAAAAAGTGCAAGAAAAGGAAAAAAGTTAAAGAAAAATAGGAAAGAAAGAAAAAAGATACAAAGCAGTGGCTTCCAATATTCTTCACAGCAAGTACAATTATAAGTACAATTATATTTTAACCTCTCTCTCTAGTTACATCATAATACTGTTCTTTCTATAATCTATCCTGTCTAATCATCAAACCATAAATCACAAGTTCATTTTTTAATTTTTACACAAAAAGTCCATAAGAGGTTTCCACTCACCAATAAATGTAGATAGTGTCTTTTCTCTAATCAAAGAAGTTAGTTTATTCATCTCAGCAAAATCTATCAGTTTCACTGACCATTCCTCTATAGTGGGTAGCGTCAAGTCCTTCCATCTCTGAGAGAACACAACTTCCACAGGTAATTAGTTCCCATGTCTAAGATTCAATTGGACTCTGCAATTTCTTATAACTTAAATCCATTATTTTGTGTCCTGCGCTCTGGGTGATAAAGAAGAGGTCTTGACCTTCTGTGCATCATCCTTTCAGGTATTTGAAGAATGCTATCACATCCAATCTCAGTCATTTTTTCTCAAGGCTAAACATTTCCAATTCTCTAACTTTATATTCATAGTTTCTAGTTTTGCAGGACGTTCTCTAGTTTTGCTGTTTCACAAGGAAAAAAAGGCAAAATAGGCTCATTTAAATGTGAATGAAACATTCTTTAAATGATCATTTTAAACCAGGCCTATGATAAAGGCAAATCAGAAAAAAGCCATGGTATACACAGCAGAAGAGAGACAGATTTATGAACATCTGTAACTGCAAGACCAGGACAGGCAATCTTTCTGCAAAGATTGGATGCAATGTTCCTCTAAGGAGTGTGGCAGCAATGCAATGATATCACCAGAGAATACAGAGCTTCTTGGAAGATGAGAGTCAGCTAAGAGTCTGCAACCAGAATGAGAGATCAGAAAGGGTCTACAGGAGCAAGCAAGCTTTTCAAGGGAGTTGAGTGAGAGAGGAACACAGGGGAAGCAGAACACTGAAACAAGTATAACATTAATCCTAGTTTAATAATCATTAGAAATCCAGAGAGCTGGCTGTGTGATGGTTGTGTAGATTACATGATGACTTGTTTCCCTGGTGTGAAGGTTGCTGACATCAAGCATCATCTAGATAAGCTTCTGGATAGTGCAGAGAAGACAGTGATAATGGTCCACATTGGCATCAGTGATATTGGAAAATATGATTGGTCAGTCTTGGAAAGCAAATTTACACTACTGGGTAGAAGACTGAAGCCCAGGATTGTCTGTGCAGCATTCTCAGAAATGCAAATTCCAAGGATCTCAATGCATGCATGTAATGATAGTGCCAGACAGAGGGCACTGGGAATTTTTTGGCAGAAACCAAATCTCTACAAAGGAGACATACTTCCATTTGAACCAAAATAAAACCAAACTGCTCATACATAACATCAGAAATGTACTAAAGCAGCTTTTAGATATATCTCTAGAGAAAAGCTAACAGGTAATGGATAGCATCTAATTCAGAAAGGTGGAGATGTTTCAGAAAATACTTTAAGAGGTAAAGCCAACACTGAACGTGACTTAATGGATGGATATGACAAGAGACGAAAAAAAGACTAAAAGGATCATACCACATTTGAGAAAGAACATGGTATATAGGTGCCCATGTCAATGCTAGAAATCTCTGAACCAAAGTCAGGTTAGGCACTGTTAGAAAAAAAATGCTGGTTAAGATGCTTATTTATAAATCTAGAATTAGAGTGTTGGTATTGTTTTATTTTTAGGGGGTTGGGAGCTTTTTAAAAGTAAAATAGGCATGTTAAGCCTATTGCACCTTATTTTCATATAATCTCTCTTTAAACAAAGGTTTTGCCTCTAAATGCAGATGGCACAATTTTCAATAGCTTTGGTGGCTACAAAAAGAAGCTTTGTGCTGCCGACCCTCATGATAAACTCAAAACTTACTCAAACCACCCTCTTTTTTCTTTTTTAGTCAGACTTACTATTTTTTCTTTCACCTCTTCCATGTCCATTTCAACTTAATTCAGAACATTTTTTAATGGAAAGAAGATCTTATTCCTCCAAGAATATGAAAGTAATAGAGGTAGAAATATAAGACTGTTCAGTCTTGGGACTGAAATGTACAGACGCTCAGAACATAACAATCTCCTAAGCAGTTAAAAGCTTTCTGTGCACTAGAAAAGCAATTGTGAGAGGTTTGGGGAAGAAAAGCATTAATTTCCCTCCGTTGTGTCTTGGAGCTTGATGCTCAGAGCAGTGATTATGCTGAACAATGGAGCAGTTTGTTTTGCAGTCCTCTTTTGGAAAGTTTGACCTAACAAGGGGAGGTGTTGCTTAACACTTCCCACCCTATTCCAACTACCTAGTTCCTAGCTGGCTGCCTCATTCTGTCATCTGGGTGAAGCAAGAGCAACCAAGAACTGTGAAGTGAATTTCCTCAGCATTTCAAGGCTACTCCTGCAGTCTGCATCTCTGCACAAAATGGGTGCAAACGCTCCACATCTCAAACAAATTACTCTGTTAAATTGCCCTTGGCGGAGAAAGAACCTCTACTTCAGCAGACATAAGATAAAAGGCAGTACAGGAGGTTTTTTTCCCTTACACCAAACTGTGACAAGAACTTTACATAAAACATATATAACCTATTTTCAATGCTTCCTCCCCCAAAGGTCTGCTGTGCTGCCTCATCATGGCAAGGGAAGGGGGAGTTCCTGGGAGGGATGAGCAAAGAATGTTGGGAGTGTATACCAAGAGTATATATTCCCAGCAGGGCCACCCAAGGCATGAAGGTCATCCCAACTGCCCAGCTAAAGCAAGCAGGCACCTATACTGGGCAGCAATGATATAGGAAGATGCCAGAAGCAGATGATCATTTTAGCAACAATAACAAAGGTATCAATTAATGCTGTGTGGGAGAAGGCCATGCTAAACCACTCCTGTATTTTTACTAAGAAAACCACAGGGATAGAAAATATAAAATGATTGACGATATAGTGCCAAAGTATGGGGCCTCCAGGTTGGATGGCACTCAACATGCTACTGGGGAAGAGCTGAGGATCTTTCAGAGTACTAATGGTGCTGATGGTGTGGCTAGATTAAAGCTTATGGGATGTCTAGTTGCTGATGTTGCCATACAGGAAAAGAAAAGCTGAAGCTGCAAAGATAGAATTACAGCAGAAACATATAATGTAAGAAGCATGAACACAGGAAAGCTCAACATAATGAAAGATGAAACAACCAACATTGACATCTTAGGCATCAGCAAACTGAGATGGACTAGGATTGGACACTTTCAGTCAGAAGACCACACTATCTATTATTCAGGACACGAAAAACAAAGGAATGGCACTGCTTTTATAGTTAGTAAAGGTATAGCAAGAAGAGTACTTGGCTACATTGCAATCATTGTATCAATTATCAAATAATATTAATTAGAGTTCATGGACAACCTTTTAATATGACAATCATCCAAGTTTATGGTCCAACCACTGATGCAGAAGAAGAGGAGGTTGATGAATTTTATGATCAAGTTCAATTTTGCAATGCAATCTAGATGTGTTGCCTCTAGCTGGAGACTGGAATGCCAATGCTGGAAATATTAAGGAGGAAAAATAGTTGTATTGTATGGCTTAAGAAACTGATGAAGCAGAAGACCAGCTTATCCCTTTCTGCCATGTCATAGCTAACACTGACTTCAAACAACCAAAACAACGCCCCTATACATGAACATCCCCAGATGGAATACATGGAAATCAAATTGACTATAATTCTGCTAAAAGGAGTTGGAAGAGCTTAGTTACAGCATCAAAGTCATGGCAAGATGCTGACTGTGGAATGGATCATGAACTATTCATGTGCAAGTTCCAACTTAAGCAGAAGAAGAGGAAGAGGAAGAAGGCCGACAAGTTTCCACATTATGATCTTGAGCATACACCCACCAATTTCAAGGATAACATCAGGAATTGCTTTAAAGTCCAGAAATATAACGAGCAACAGAAGAAGAATCAATAACAATTCTAACCAAGCTATGCAAGCAAATCCTGAGAATGACACAGTGGCCAACAAATTGGAAGAATGTCATCTACATCCCAATACCAGAAAAAGGAGATTTAACGGAGTGTGCAAACTATTGTACAGTATCCTTAAATTCATATGCTAGCAAAATAATCCATATGATAATCCAACATGGATTAGATCTCTACATGGAAAGGGAGATGCCAGATGTTCAAGCTATCTTAGAAAAGGCCAAGGAACATGAGACATTACTGCTGATGCATGCAATAGAGAAATAGAGATAATAGAGAAAGCAACCCCCCCCCCAAAAGTCAATATGTGCTTCATTGATGATAGAAAGATCTTTGATTGTGTCAATTACAAAAAACTGTGGAATGTACTTAGAAAAATGGGAATCCCCAAACATTTAATTGTCCTCATACAAACCAACAGACAAATCAGACACCATAGTATGGACAGAACCTGGACAATCAGACTGGTTCCAGGTTGGCAAAGGAGTAAGGTAAGGATACATACACTCCCCTTCTTTATTCAAACTATATGCAGAATATATATTGAGGGACACTAGATTGGAAGAAGACAAGTGTGGTTTTAAAACTGGAACAAGAAATGTCAATAATCTGCACTATGCTGATAATACTACTCTGATAGTTGAAAACACAAAAGATCTGCAAGCTAGTAATAAAAATCAAAGAGCAAAAAAGGGATTACAATTAAATATAAAGAAGATCAAATTAATCCCAACAGGTACAACAATCAGCCTTAGAATTGACAATGAAGATATTGAAGTGGTAGATAGCTTCTACCTTTTAGGATCAACCATCAGCAGTAAAGGAACAAGCAGTCAAGAAATATGCTACAGACTAGCACTTGGTAGAGTAACCATGAAGGCCTTGGAAAAAATATTCAGTCATAATATGTCTATAGCTTCAAAGATCAAAAGAGTCCAGACAACAGTACTCCCTGGGACACTCCATAGAAGCAAAACTTGGACTTTGAAGAAGCAGGATGGAAAGAGTATTGATGCTTTTGAACTTTGG